TGTGCCCGTGTTCAGTGTGCCCGTGTTCAGTGTGCCCGTGTTCAGTGTGCCTGTGTTCAGTGTGTCTGCATTCAGCATGTCCACGTTCAGTCGTTCAGTGTGCCCGCGTTCAGTGTGCCCACGTTCAGTCGTTCAGTGTGCCCGCGTTCAGTGTGCCCACGTTCAGTCGTTCAGTGTGCCTGCATTCAGTATGTTCGTGTTTACTGTGCCCATGTTCAATACACCCGCATCCAGTGTGCCAGTGTTCAGCATGTCCACTTTCAGTGTGCCTGTGTTCAGCGTGTCCATTTTCAGTGTGCCTGTATTTACCATGTCCACGTTCAGCATGTCCGCACTGTGTGCCCACATTCAGCGTGCCTGTGTTCAGTGAGCCCACATTCAGCGTGCCTGTGTTCAGTGAGCCCACATTCAGCATGCCTGCGTTCAGCGCGCCCACTTTCAGTGTGCCTGCCTTCAGTGTGTCCATGCTCAGTGTTCAGTGTGCACATGTTCAGTGTGCCTGTGATCAGCATGTCTGTGTTCAGTGTGCCCACATTCAGTAAATCGGTGCACAGTGTGCGCTAAAACACCTACTCTGTCCACAGTGCCCCCTGTGATCTCAGGCCAGAGCGAGGAGTTCGTGGAGGAGGTTGGGGCAGTGCTGAACGGCTCCGTCTCACTGCAGTGTGAGGCCACGGGGACTCCGCCCCCGTCCGTGTCCTGGCTGCGGGATGGGGAGCCCGTGGAGGAGGGGCTGCGCTTCCGGCTGCTGGAGGCCGGCCGGGTGCTGGAGGTGAGCGAGAGCACCAGCAACACCCAGGTGAGGAGCAAGGACCCCGTGCAGGGTTGACTGAGCTGCTTCTCTCCATGCAGGTCCATGATGTGCAGGTGGCAGACATGGCCAGCTACCTGTGTCTAGCAGAGAACCACGCAGGAACAGCGGAGAAGCTCTTCAGTCTGACGGTTCAGGGTGAGGAGGGTGCAGGGCTATCACACCACAGGATACATACAGTGCAGACCTGCCTGCCTTATATGAAATTATAAAGTGCTGGGCCCCTTGAATCTACTAGGGCGCTGGCGGTAAAGCTTCCCTAGCGTGCCACATGGGTTTTGATCTTTATGTTATAAGATGCTGTGACATGTAATGCTATGTTATATATGACTGTTAATTTACCCCTCTTTATCCCAGGTTTTACTGGTTCATTTTTGAAGCCATAACATATCTAGTTAATACATGTTTCCCTGATGGGTATTCGGAACATACACGTCTCATTCCAGTTCCGCCGACGATCATTGGCTCGAAGGAGGAGCAGGTGAGCGTCATCGAGGGTCACATGGTGTCCCTGCTTTGTGACGTGCAGGCGTACCCCCCCCCAGAGATCACCTGGACCCGGGACGGGCAGCTGCTGGCATTTAGCACGGGGATCCACGTGTTGCCAGGTGAGGGCCGCACCCCTCTCCCCTCTCCCCTCTCCCTTCTCCCCCCTCCACGTGATAGTGGGTACAGGTTAACCTGTGCATGAGGCTGACCGCTGACTACTGATGGACTTTGGCTTTGCCCTTGACTACAGGTTACACCCTGCTTTTAGGAAGCAAGCCTACTCTTTCTTGTTAGCATGCCCTGGGGGGTCAGTAGAGCAGCTAGCCTTGCACCCCCAAAGGTTTTTTTTCCCCCTACTGAGTAGTTTTTGGTTCCTCTCCTCTGTTGTCATCTGGCTTTCTTTCTTTCATTTCATTGTCTTCTCTTTCCCCCCTTTTTGGATGATTCTCTTTTAATGATGTAAGAATGTATCACAACACACTCATGTAAAGCGCCTTGGGGTGACTCTTTTGTGAAAGGCGCTATATAAAAATAAATTGATTTGAATTACTCTCCCCAACAAGGCCTGACGATTGACTGGTACCAAACAAAAAGCTGTAAAATAGATATCTGCTTTATTGGGGCCACCCAAACGATGTCTCTTACAAGACCTGCTCATCCTGTGGGAACATTTCTCAAGCCTGCCTGATTTTCACTGACCTTTCGCCTGCTAAACACAAGGTGACATTGTCAGGAATGCATGGGAGACCCTGTTCTGTCTTCAGGGGGACAGATGCTTCAGCTGTCCAGAGCCAGGCTCCAGGATGCCGGCCAGTACGTCTGCACTGCCACCAACGCTGCAGGACAGGATCAGAAGAGCATCGAGCTCAGTGTCTACGGTATGGTGCTTTCTAACAGCTAACACTGGGTCCTCAGGCAGTCTGTTTATAATCGTCTAAACAAAAAAATAAGACATATAATAAAAAGCTTTTAATTTCATTGTATTGAGCCGTTTTTGTTCTATTTCAACTCCATACGTACATGAGCGTCAATTTAACAGAGTTGTTATCACAGTGATCCTGTATCCTGTTATACTGGGAAAGCGGTTATTGTAGCTCTTTTGAGAGTTAGGCGGTTAGTTGTCTTCTGCACATAACCCGTCTTTTTCCTCAAAGCTCCACCTACGCTGAAGCCACGTGGCAATTTCGAGTCAGAGGTCGTGACCCCACAAGTTGGCTCGAACGTCTTGCTCCGGTGCGAAGCTCAGGGTACACCAGAGCCTGAGGTCACCTGGTACCACAACGGGCTCCAGATGGTGCCAGGGGGCAGGCTGGAGATAGAGGGCCACCTCCTCCAGATTACAGGGGTGCAGGTACGTGGTCTCCCTAAGCTAACTTGATTCTGCTTAAACACACAGAAAACCTTCACACCAGCATGAAGGGTTGGAGCTGAGCCCTTCAGGGATGTGTTAACATAATCACATGTACAAATTGTCAAATCTGGATTACTGAGATGCAGATACAATGTCTCCCTGTCTCGTTAACTCCCAATGTGCCTCTCAGGTGCACCTACATGGAAATGGGGGCATGTGTATATAAGAACATAAGAACATAAGAAATTTACAAACGAGAGGAGGCCATTCGGCCCATCAAGCTCTTTTGGGGAGAACTTAACTAATAACTTAACTTGATCCTACATAGTTCCTATTCTGTTGACGTCATATACACAAAGACGTTTGTTACCCTAAATATGGTTTAGTGCACGTTTACTGTGTCTTTTAGCATGCATGGTGTCTTGTTCCCTTGGTAGGGTGTATGTTTCATGTTGAATGTTGCCTGTGATGAGTTTTTTCTTGTGTCTCCAGGTGTCAGACAGTGGCATGTACATCTGTAAGGTTTCCAACATCGCTGGGCAGGTTGACCGGAGCTTCCGTCTCACTGTCCATGGTGAGACCCAAAGAGCCTCTTTTTATTTGGCTGCTTCAATTTGTATGTATTCTCTACCTGTTTAGCCTTTTATAAACAGGCTCTAGATACTGCTGATACCATTTTCACAGGCATGCTGTTACACGTTTATTATCTTGTGCCATCCTCAGCACCCCCTGTTCTGGAGCACCCTCTAGAGGAGACCCTCACTCACACCGTTGGCTCCCATGTCACACTGCTGTGCGAGGCCACGGGGGTCCCAGCCCCCAGCATCACTTGGCTCAAGGATGGCTCTTCTATTGGTGAGGAAAGAGTTTGGGGATTCTTAGCCAACTGACTCAAATGGGCTGGTAAATAACATTAATCATTTAACATGTCAATTTGAACATCTGCTAAACATGTATAACTAAAATTTGATCCAACATTCCATTCAACACGTTTTATTGGCCAATTGCCTCATTCCCCCAACATTCCCAAGGACACTTTCATCAGCCAATTGCCTCATTCCCCTAACATTCCCAAGGACACTTTCATCAGCCAATTGCCTCATTCCCCCAACATTCCCAAGGACACTTTCATCAGCCAATTGCCTCATTCCCCCAACAT